AGAGGGTTTTATTATTTTGATTCTAAAATGAGTATTTTGAGTTTCAAAATAGTGGTATTGATGTTGGTTGTTGATATATGGACCATTGGGTCAATATTGGAAAAATGGGGGAGAAAGCCCTAATTCGTTGCGTAAATTAATTGGTTTCCGTTGTCATCAAATTCCATTCATGTGGGGGATTGTTGGAAATGGTTATAAAATTCTGGATAAAACCAGAATTTTTTCCTAAGTTCGGTCTATTTTTTAGGTGGGCCCCGGGTGTCGATTTACTCGGGTCAAAGTGGTAACGCGTTGGAAATACATCAAATGGATGTTGAGACAGCTTTCTTAAACGGTGATCTAAATGAAGAGATCTATATGGAAGAACCCGAAGGGTTTGTAGTATCAGGGCAAGAAAAGACAGTTTGTCGACTTGTAAAATCCCTTTATGGATTAAAACAAGCACCTTAGCAATGGCATGAAAAATTTGATCATGCAATGCTTACTAATGGGTTTAAGATAAACGAATGTGACAAATGCGTCTATGTTAAAAACACTGACCAAGGATATGTCATAGTTTGTCTTTATGTGGATGACATGCTTATCATTGGAAGCAGTCAAAACATAATCAAATCAACTATGCAGATGCTTAACAAAAGATTTGATATGAAAGATATGCGGGTCGCAGATGTTATATTAGGAATGAAAATTACTAAAACATCTGACGGATATGCATTATCTCAATCACATTAGATTGAGAAAATGCTTGGTAAATTTATCAAGGATAATATGAATTTAGCTAGAACACCTGTAGACGTCAATCTTTATTTATCAAAAAATAAAGGTGATGCAGTGTCTCAGTTAAAATACTCCCAAATTATTGGAAGCCTAATGTACCTAATGAATTGTACTCGTCCTGATATAACTTATGCTATCAGTAAATTGAGTAGGTACACTAGTAACCCCGGAGAAGACCATTGGAAAGCGATCATTCGGGTTCTTAGATATCTAAGATTCACCCATGATAATGGTTTAAACTTTACTCGATATTCAGCAGTACTTGAAGATTATTGTGATGCAAATTGGATATCGGATACTAAAGATTCAAAATCCACAAGTGGATATGTCTTTACTCTAGGCGGCGCTGCTGTTTCTTGGAAATCCACGAAACAAACATGCATCGCACGATCCACAATAGAATCCGAGTTCATTGCTTTGGACAAAGCAGGAGAAGAAACAGAATGGCTTCGTCACTTCTTAAAAGACATTCCAATGTGGTCAAAACCTGTGCTAACTATTTGAATTCATTGTAATAGTAAATCTGCAATAGGCAGGACACAGAATCATATGTATAACAATAAGTCATGACATATTCGTCGTCGACATAATACCGTAAGGCAATTGTTGTCAAACGGAATAATCTCAATAGATTATATAAAATCTAAAGAGAATATTGTGGATCTGTTAATAAAAGGTTTGACAAAAGAGCTAGTGTATAGTTCATCGAAGGGGATGGGATTAAAGCCTATTACATAAAAGTCGTCATAATGGTAACCTTACTTATATGACTGGAGATCCCAAAAACTAAGTTCAAAGGAACAACTAAGTTATGTATGGCTCGCCAGAAATCACCAAGGGATTAAAAATTCCCTAGCCATTCCTATGGTGAGAGTGATATCTGCAACATATGTTGTATGCAGGGGTATAAGGATAAGCTTTGGCTTTAATGATTACTTATATCTTGATTGAGGCATAAATCAAGACGAGTATAAGGAGATACTCACAATAAGAATCACCTATATGAGTGTTGAACTGGGGTCGGTTCTATGAGAATGAAGAGGTTAAATTCTCTAGAAACACTTATGAAAACCAGGCGCGTTCAAGGCCAAAATGAACACAACAGTGAGAACCACGATGTGTTAGAAGATATTTTGTGTGAAATCTATTGTCTTGGCTTACATAAACGGCTGAACAATTCAAGGCATCGCGTCCATTGGTTAGCCAGTAAGTCCGATAGGTTATCGCTAGGGAAGGTTCAAGGCCGAAAGTTTCCTATCCTGATGCAAGATATTTTCAACTTATACTCTTTCGATAGTTTGCATATTATTGCATTTCCGTTGTCATCAAATTCCATTCATGTGGGGGATTGTTGGAAATGGTTATAAACTTCTAGATAAAATCAGAATTTTTTTCTAAGTTTGGTCTATTTTTTAGGTGGGCCTCGTGCATCGATTTTCACGGGTCAAAGTGATAACGCGTTCTATGTCGCGTTGTGATTCACGTGGTATATTTGGTTGCTCAAAACCATTACCGAGTGAATGGGAAATTGAAGCCAAAGTGTGCTCCATGGAAATGAAGTTTTGGTGAAAATTCCTTAAGGTTGTAAAATGGCTTGTCCCATATTGATTTGATGGGAAGTTTTGAATGGTTTTATAAGGCTTGGGTTTGGTACTTGGGGTGTGCCCCAAGGGGTACCCAAGTGTTTTAGAGGGAGAGGTTATGGGCAAAATGGACTAGACCCATTGGACCCAAAAATCACCACAAGCGCGCGCGCGCGCCGCCGTCGTCTGTCCGGTCGAGCGGGCTGGGCTGGGCACGTGGTGTGTGGTTGGGTTGGGCTTGTTCGGCCCAATACTAATCTTTTTGGACCAAAAATATTTGAGTTTAATTTTATTTTGTATAAAATAAAATCCAAAATTCAAATTAAACTAGAAATAAACTGGTTTAGTTTTACTGTACATCCAAACAGGGCCCTTCCCGAAAAAAACTAGTCTGGTTTTTAACGTATATCCAAACAGGGCCCTTCCCGTTGTTGTATCTGTTTAAATTATGAACCCAACAGATTCAAATCTGTTTGAATTCAAAACCAACAAGTTTCATACATGTTCAATTCAAAACCAATAGCCACCTTTACATCTATAAATAGACTATTCTCCTATTTAGATTTTACTCTAATTTTTGTACTCCATCCTCTGTTATAAATCTTTGCATTTTACTGCATTTAATTTCTAAAAGAAAGTATAAACACTTAGTGTGTTCGTAAGCCAAACAATTTGTAGTGCTGCTATTGTTTGTAGTAGATCATTTCATCATGGGAGATAGACGTCCAAATTCTGAAAGCACCGTGGAGAGGGCGAATCTATCTTAAGGACACAATGTCAAACACTGGACTTGATCAGATTATAATTCGAACAAATTAAATCAAATAAGTTATTTAATTTATTTTCAGTGTTATTCTTATTTATTTAAATCAGATTTTAATTTTGTTTTTATAACAAAATAAAATCTGTTTTTATTTATTTATTTTTATTTCGAGTTTGATTTTTGTAATCAAACAAATTCTCTCATTTCCTTTATTTCTTTATATTCTAGTTGTTGTTTAGTACACAACAAAATTTAATTTATTTAAATACAGTGAAGATTGTCCTACAGGATTTTCGTAGAAAGAATTAATGATTATCATCAAAATTGACCAATTAACTAAGAGATAAACAAAAGGTCACATTTAATATCATATTTGTTGACAGAAGCGAGGAACGGTAGCCCCATTATTCAAGCACATCTGGCCATGTCTTTTAAATTTGTAGACTTCATTCAATAAACATGAAACCAACAAAAACGAACACATACTTCGTGCTTCGTGTAATGTGACACAAGCGTCGAAGGTAACTATAAAACCAAATGGTAATGATCTTATGGATTAATTAATAACCATATTTTTGGCCCAACATGTTGCAATAACAAAAAAAAAATTTTATTAGCCATTCCATCAAAATCAAATTTTGGATGTGAACCACAAATCCAAAATGGATTTTGAACAACAAAAGTCATGATATAGTGTAACCATGAAAATTCATACTTTTTGACACTTTAAAAAATGTCAAACATTTTAAATTCATGAATAGTAGCTTGTACATTATTCTTGACCATGTTTGGTTTAAAAACATAACTTTAACCGAATTGATTTTCATAATTGCTTGGCAAAGTAGGTTGTTTTTCCATGTTAGTTATTAATGGCTTATGCAAATCCCCCATAATTATTTCCATGACTTAACTCTCTACAAATTGGTTTTTAGCCCCCCTAAGCAATGCACAGAACATCATTCTTAGCCAAATTTGGCTCAAGAACATACTCTTTTATTATGTTAATTTCATAAGCTCTTAAACCCCCTGAGCCATTGATGAAATCAACTCTTTGTTTTTGCTATTTTCAATCATGAATTTTTTTTGAAAAAACTCACCAATTCCGGCCATTAAAGCCTCAATTAAAGACTTGGTAGTGAGAGTTGACAACTCATCATTCCATTGGCGAATTTTCATATCAAGTTGATGAATTTCTCCAATTAAATGATATCTTTTTTCTTCCACCAAATAATATTATAAGAGATGAAAATTTATTTCATCAAGAAAATAATCTCTTCTTGAAAATCTAAAATTTTTTATTTACGCCAAAAGATTTTATCTAGACTATTTGGAATTGACGAATCCAATTCATTTTTCATTTCTTACACTTGACGTCCCACTGGGCGTGCCAAAAACTGTTGACTTATTTTTCCTATGAAGAAAAATATCATAAATGCGAGCGTACCAGCAAAGATTAAAAAATCCTTACAGATTAAATTCAAACCAATTATCAAGTGATTGCGTTGACAGTTCTTTTTCCTCAACAAAAGGGACTTTAAAATTGTCAAGTATAGAGAAAAAAAAATTAAAAAAAGAAAGAAGAAGACAGAGATGGAGAAAGATGATTAAGTGAACAATCAAAATAATAATTACTTACCTCTACTCCTATGCTTTAAAAAGGAAGTGCATAAAATGCTTTGAAAGGAAATACTGAAAATAAATGTTTCGAAAAGGAAGTACATAAAATAAAATGCATGAAATATAAATGACAAGAAAAATAGAAATCAATTATCTTTGACTTGAGTTTTGGATCCCTTTACAATATAGCCATGAATGACTATTTATAGGCAAACATTTGTAAAAAAAAAATACCTAAAACTATCCATATCTCCCATCTTTATCATTGTCTTACGATATGTCTTTCCACTCATCCACTTTGTCCTTCATGTTCTCCATCATTTCCACAACTTTTTTTAACTTTCAAATAAGTAAAAAAATGCCACGTATCCTGAAAATAATAATACTAATAATAATATTTTATAGTGCCAACGCTAATCCAACGAATTAGTTCTATTTTAAATTTGCACAAAAACATCAAATGAAAACACAACCAAAAAACATCAAATAAAAACACAACCAAAAAATGTACAAACGTAATGTGAAATCTGAAATCTGCACTGAAAACACTTCCGAGTGTCCCTCCACTGAGCTTGTCATGGCACGCAAGCCACCATTCCATGTTGAGAATTTTGTTCTGAGCAAAATTTTAGGGACGGGTGTTGAAGAAAGAACTGCCCAAGCCAAAAGAGGGGACCCCAGATTTTGAGGATAAAAAAGGATCTTTACTCTGCGATTCAACTAGGTTAATGCTGGTTCAATTTGCTTCTCCTTGTCATTCAAAGTAATCTGAATTGTGCAACATGATAAAGTGTGCATCATCGATACCCTTCATTGATTCTCCAGTATACCATGTTATGGTTCCTGCATTGAATAATAGCCAACTGAAATAAACAAGCGGTTTATTGCTTCATTGCTCTTCAAATATATGTGCAAATATTTGTGTATATCTATTACATTTTATGTATTTTAGTAGTAATGGATTAGATCAAAAAAACATAATTGTCCTTGCAAAACAGCCTGAAACCAACTTTCAGAGTGCTCAAAATTTGTGCTGCATTTACATGGTTTTCATGTTTAGGCATGTATTTTAAACAAACGGCCCTTGATTTAAACAGATGGATGGCCTGAGAGGAGTAAAAATGTCTATTTCTACCTGGTGCAGTAGGTTGTTCCTGTTCTCTTGTTGCATGAAGTATTATGGTTCCTGAAAGCACAGTGATGAATCCACATATCTCAGAGGCTATGCTGCTCGCATCCTGACCTGACCAGTCCTGCAAAAATTATAGGAGAATATATGTCATCCTCGTATTCCCGTCTTTCCCAAGGTAAAAATCATGAGGCATTAGTAAAAACTCCGAGTGGGTGGATCGGGTATCTACCTTGAACATTATAACGCTTGCAACAATAGTCAGAGTCGTGAACATCACATAATATATTGGAGAAACAATGGCTGCATTGAATGTATCCAATGCCTGGAACAAAGATGCCATTAAAATCAGTGGATACTGTTCATTGATGTAGAATTATATATGAAAGTGTACACCACAGTAAAATCTTCCAGATCACAATGGCTGCATTGAATGTATCCAATGCCTGGAACAAAGATGCCATTGAAATCAGTGGATACTGTTCATTGATGTAGAATTATATATGAAAGTGTACACCACAGTAAAATCTTCCAAATCAATCAACATTTAGCTCACGTTACCCTTGAACATACATCATGGCAATCCTTATTATTAACTAAAAGTACTTTTCATTTGGTAGATACATAATGTGTATATTTTAGGCACAAAGCAAGCATCATGATCAAGGAATGAGATGCTTACTTTAAAAGTGCCTCAAACCTGGAGTTGTGCATCTCAAATGAATTGAGCCTCAAGGCTGCATCTTGAGGCATTTTCATTCGATGTTGAATTTCAAAGTGATTCTCATTAACAATGTGCACGTAGCAGTCAACCCAGATACCATGATTCATTTCCAAAAATACTGTTGCATGACCAAGACAAGCCCAAAAACTTAACCGACCAATATAATTGGTTAAATGACAAACTTATGTCTCGTGTGCACAGATGAGGATCACTCCAGTGTGATGATAAATAAGAGCATAGTATCTAGCAAACTGAACTGGCATAAACATACCATGAGACCAAGAAATGATCAGAACCAATGACAGTAATTGATGAATTTACTAATTATGCAGTTTGACAATACAGGACATCTCACATGACCTTTTTTTAAATAAAGGTCATAACTAATGCACAAGGCTTCCACTTCAACAGGATTCCTTTATTCCACCTTCTTGTGAAGGGTAATTCATGTAACTTGAACCAGCGCCACAGTGCCAGGGCAATAGCACTTACCATCACGCCAAGTCATGACCTCTCACATGAGTTTTTTTACATGTAACATGCGTGTGTGTATTGGTAGAAAGGAGGGCTCAGCCTGGAAGAAACTAACAAAAACAGAGATTGCAACCTGTGCAAGGTCTGAGTACAAACAAGTGCTAGTCCATTGGGCTTGACCCTAATGAAATGAGTCCCTAACTGCCATTAAAGATTGGCATACTAACTCTTAACAGCATGATTAATCTTCATAAATTTTCTTTGGGCATGCTTAATCTCCTTTGGGATCACCAACTGCCCTTCTACTTTGGCATTTTTCTATTCTACTGTCAACGAGAAAGAAGGTAAATTGAACCCTTGCACCTCGCTAGGAGGACAGGAATTCAAGTCTTGCCACAAGCAAGACTCTGGCTAAGGCCCCTGATGTACCCCGAATAAAACAAAAAACAAAAAACAAAAAACAAAAAACAAAAAACAAAACCAAACCAAACAAAACATTGCTGCATTCCATTTGATGCATAGTAGTATAAGCACAAACAAATATAATGTGGAATATACCAAGCATTTTAATTAATGGGTAACAAGATCGATATTTCCCATACACCAGATATTTAAGTAATCAACCTGGATTTGCAAGACATGAAAGGAATTTAGCATATACATATACTGAATACTCATATACAGGCAAGTTAGGGGATAGATCTCTTACTCCAAAGGAAAAAAGGAAAAAAAGAATTCTATTTTGACAAAACAGAGATAACCAGCCAGTTTAATGTACAACCATTATATGTTGATTTAACTATAGTCACCTTGTTAAGATAATTCAACTGCATGATCACACAAACTGCTGCAACTGACATAAAAAACCAAGTCTGAGGATATGCAAGTTGACTTATCCCATCCAATGTAAGCTTTATTCCAATTCCTATTGCCTTTATGCTTACAACCTGCATGATGGCACAAAGAAGATTCTACAGGCTTAAGCTCCAGAGAGAACATTAAACAATTTCATTATGTAATGATATATAAACCTCCAACAATATTAAGTACTCTCCAACCAAGGAATTAAAATTACCGTAAGTGAACCTATTAAAGAACAAATTCCCAAGTAGATCAGTATGTTCGACTGCCCACAGCGTGGTTCAAAATACAGAATCAAAGCTAAGACTATTGATACTGCAGCTGCTACATAGATTACAAATGCTGTTGACAGAAGCAGGTAAGCTAAAATTATTAGTAATCTCTGAGAGTCTCAGATCAAAGTTTTTTCTTTAAACAAATTGAGTTGAACATGAAAAATAGTTTAAACCCAAAACCTGGTTGAGTTGCCAAAGTCCAGATTTCTCGTACAGAATTTGGGGTTTGTTCTTGAGGTGCATGGATAACAATCACCACTGATCCCACTATGCAGCACACACATCCAAGAACACCCATTTTCCGCAGTCGTTCCTTCAACATAAAGTGTGCCAAAATAGCACTACACAAATTCACAAACAGTTAGTCCTAAATATACTGTTCCAGTTCTCTTCAAAATTCCCTCATAAAAATGTTTTTATTGTTACCTAACAATTATACTTAATGCACCAAGAGGGGTCACAAGAACTGCCGGAGCATAAACATAAGCCACAAAATTTGCAACCTCTCCAACAATCACTACATGTGCAAAAATGTCAGAACACAATGTTAATAACCCATTGGACCAGTACATTTTTCCACATTTTATTTATATTTTACTTTTAGAGAGAGTAAGGGAGGGAGGGAAAGTGTCCATTGGTTGTCTTATACTTACTTGTGGACATGCCTACCCACCAGAGTGGTTCGAGTAAATAAGTGTAACCTCCAACTCCTACAATATAGATACGATGAAACAGTGACATAAGCACATCTGCTATATGTAGAACTATTGTGTACACAATAATGATAAAGTAGTAACAGAGAAAGCATAAACAACTTTAAGAGCTTATAAATTCCGAAATTAATATCATTAATCGGAAACGATATAAAATTAAGATGTGGTCCTCAACAACAATGGAATGCATCTAAACTGTTCTCATACGACATGGCATCTCATCTAGCCATGTGGTCAGGCTCATTGAGGGCAAACTAGAAACCCACTTGTATTCCACCCATGGCCCTTTAAAGTTTTAAAATCATGAAGCAAGTGATATACATCCAAACCCTGGATTGCTGGCTCAAGCTTACTGAATTATGATGGGTAGCACAAGCAACTTCTCTATGTAAAGATTACATGCAAATTCTCCATGGATTGCCTCTGCTTGTAAATGCATGTTTCCATAATCAAGAAATTAGTTCATTTTGCTAAATGGTAAGCTTAATGTGACCAAAAAATGCTAGTACCCTAGCAATTTACATTTTGGAAGGCATGTTGCAGAACATGGTACACCTCCAGGGTTGAGGGTCGTGGCTGTCCTGTTACTTTTCAAGCTAAAATGATCCAGTTTCTCCAACTGTTGTTACTCACCACTCTATAATCTATAGAAGCTAAACAACGATTGATTTAACAGAAGATTTTTTTTAATTTCCAAGTTATAAGCATCAACAACTCTCACTTTCATTAAACTCCATCCATCTACAAGATACAAGTCCCAACAAGAACAGTCCAGAAACAACAGGCTATTTTTTTAAAGCTCCATCAAAAAGTTCCACCTGAAGAAGCAAAAACAAATCCATGGTATAATATTGGTTCAATATAATTCTTAGATTTCATCTCCTTGCTGATAATACAAAGAGATCCTACAAATTTTGATTGTAAAAACCCTTCTTTTATTTCAAACACAAATATAAAATGCGTCATGAAGAGGATAGTAATGATACAATCTGAAGTGAAATTAAAAACCCAAATAATCAAATTCATTATGCAATGAAAGAAACTAAATAAATTAAAGATTAAACTATAAAATAAATATTAAAAAAAAAAGTAGTAGAGATCTAATTCAGACTGACCTGCGCGAGTGCCTGAATCAGCAGCACGCTTGAGCCCTTTCTTCTTCAGGATGAAACTAGCGCCTATGAACAAGCTCGAACCCACGGCTAGTATCAACCCTTTCGCATTGTCCGAAATCCCCATCTCTCTCTCTCTCTCAACACATAGCCTTGTGTGTATCAATTGAATCGTACGTCAATCGATGACCGAGATGAGGACAAATCTAGATTTCCCGCCAAGAGAACTCGAACTGTTGCGCCTTTCTTAATCTTCCCTTCCCTCCAAGAACGAGTATCACACAAATGCTTTGCGATCAGAGAGAGAGAGAGAGAGAATTGAAGGGAGATCTCAGAGATGCTCTCGCTCTCGAAGGATATTCAGAGAGAGCTTCCCTCAGAGATCGTCTTCTTGTCGGAAGTTTCCAATTCATAGTGCAGGCTAGCAATGATTCACTGCGTCTCAGACCCTACTTTAAACAGAAGTTCATTAACGGCCGTTACACGTTGTGACATCAAGGATTAACGGCTCTAACATCGTTTGAGTCAAATCAGCAATTGGGTTCACACATCTGGATGCCTTCCAATCGCACCAGCCACCGGGTTTAAAATTAAGATACCTATCAAATTTGCCCCTAAGCTTTATCCCAAGTTTCTTATTAGCCCTCTCACTTTAGGGTTATTTGAGATGTTCTAAATAAGTGTATTTTTTATCTTTTTAAATTAAAAAATTGAGAAAAAAAAATAAAAATATTTAGGTTAAGTTTTTAAATTTTTATACAAAAATGTGTATTAAAAAATTATATAAATTAGTGTGTAAGAAAAAATTAAGATTGAGAGTTGTGTAATCGTAATTTTTAACTTTTGATAAATAGTGATAACTTTTTAATTTTTTGAGTAATTTTTTAATTTTTTAAATAACTTTTTAATTTTTTAACTTTTTTTCAACTTACTAAACTTAACCTTAATTTATCCAAATTAAGCTCCCAGTTTTTAAATTATCCCGTAATTGTTCAGTTGTTCTGATGCACCCTGTGATATTACTTATCTGGGCTCCAAATCAATTCGCATACAGAAAAATTTAACAAATAAAATATATTGGCTTATATTTATCAAGTAGTTATGAGATAAATGATAATCTACTCATATATTATAATTTCTTATTAATTTAAAAATACCACATAAATAATGTCACGCAATATTTTAAAATTTTCACATAAACAATATTGCGTGATAGTTCGAAAATATTTAATATTTTTTCTTAAGAATGTCGAGGGAATGTGATTGCATATCCCCATAATCTCAACGTGTGCAACAAATTGCAATAGAAAATAAATTTTGATTATCTTGAATAAATGTTAACTATTTATAAGTAAGGTCTCGTTTGATAATAGGTTATTTTAATAATTTTTTAACTTTTTATGAAAAGATGTACAAAAAATAGAGAGAGTAATGTAACAACTTATAGTAATTTTTTGACTTTTTGATTAAAATGTATAATTGATGAACGAAACCTAAAAAATGATTTGGCCCCAATTTTAAATGTCACTTTTTTATTGAGAATTTTTTAAGTTGCTCTTTGCAAAACAAATTTCAAACAAGCAATAAAATTTATAAATTTTAATAATTAAAATTATAATTTTTCATCACTTCGCAATTTTTTTTTTTTTATGTTATAACTAATTCATAATTTTTCTAATTTTTAATGAAACGCTTGAAATGAGAAAATTAGTTTAAGGTCTCTCTCTCAATTTTAATAATGAAAAAGGTCCACAATATTATTGTGTAACGTTTAAAGTCTCTTACACAACCTTATATATCTCACCCACCCAAAATGAGTTCCATTGAACTCTGCATAAATTTTTCCAAAATGAAGAATCCAACTCAGTTCCACTGCCACCATCTTCTACTACCTCTATTGCCCACTCTCCATCACTGCCAAGAGGAACTGATGAGGTTGATGAAGAAGTACCGGAATGTTTTGAGTAAAGATCGGTTTGGGAAAAGAGTATGTATTCAAGAGTCCTCACAATCAGGAAACTTTTGAGATCTCTAAGAAGATCTGGAGCTCTGCCACTATCGCGGCAGAGCCGGTGGTGGAGCCGGCGAAGAAGGTAGGTTGAAGATAATAAATCAAACCCTAACCTTAACCCTAACGCTAATCCTAATTTGTTTGATCACAATAGTAATAGCGTTGTTGATCCTAATAGTTCAGAGAAAATTTGTGAAGTTAGAGGTGTATTCAAAGCAGTTAGAATTGGTGTAAAATCAGATTAAATCGACATTAAAGAAGCTAAGGTCGATGTGAAGTTGAACTGGATTTGAGTGGCAAGAGCTTGGATTTTTGTAACACTTTTTAGTTCATAAATTTGCGGGTCATTTGATCAATGGTGAATATTGTAGTGGGTAATTGCAGTCTTGTCCATATTTAATCTTTTTGGTTTGTTTTAACTTATTAATAGTTGTTGGAATAAATTTTTGTGATGATTGATTTTTTGAAGATGTATTTGGGAAATTTCTCTGGATTTCATAAAATAGTATTGTGTCTTATACTCCAGAGAAAATTGGTCAAAATGAAAATAGTAGTTGCTAAATTTTCTCTGATTTGTTGTTGTCTAAATGTCTTACAGTCCAGAGAAAATTGGTCAAAATGAAAATGATAGTTGTTCAATTTTCTGTAGTTTGATCAAAAACAGAGAGAAAATTATGAGCAAATCAGAGAAAATTGGTCAATATATAGAAAAATTCTCTGAGAAATTCTCGGTAATTTACCAAAGTTTGGATTTGGGTTTGGGGTTCGAAACTTGATCCAATTTGGGGAAATTATTATTTTTTTTTCAGAAATTATGCTCTGAATTCACGAATTTTAGTACTATTTTGGTTAAGAAATTGGTTGAAGTTATGGTTTTGTATTACGGTTTTGCTATGTAATTTTGCTAAGTTGGTGAATTAGGGATTTGGGTTTGGATTTTGAAGGTTGATAAAAAAAAATTTAAAAAAATGTTAGGAAATTGGGTTGTAAATTTACATAATTTAGCATTTTGGTGAGGAAATTGCAAGAGCTTGCTAGTATTTTGTTCTGATCAATTTTTTCTGGATAATTTTCTTTACCCTGTTTAATTTTCTATGTGTTATTCAATTTTTTCTGGTTTAAACTCAGAAAAATTTGAATTTTCTCTGGTTTGAACCTAGAGAAATTCTTTGGGAAGTTCAAAATTTCTCTGAATTGAAATTTCTCTAGATCAATATTGAGGGACTTTAGACATTATGAAAATATTGAATATCATTTATACTATAAAATTTTAATATCAGGAACCCTAAAAAAAACTCGCTTGAAATATATTTAGAAGAAAACTTTTTTATTAATAATGATATATACATTCTTTCAATATTCTTGTTACACAAGCGTAGCCTACCTCTTATGACAGGTTTGTTTGGATGGACTGGATAAGGAGGATTTTAATCTATCGGGCTGTTAGTCCTATAATACATTATCATCGGACTATTTGATTAGACTGAAATTGTATCATATGTTTGTTTAGTTATGAGATTAGATGTTTGGATTTGATTATTCTATTAGTTCTATGTTTGTTTCGAATATTATGGAAAATGATAAATACTCAAAAGACTATTTTGCCATTTTGAATTATTTACTAAATAATAGGAATATTAAATCTGAATTATAAATTTTATCTAATTTTTTTACTAGAACTTTTAAAAAATTAAATAAATAGAGTATTAATAAAAATTACATAAATTTATTTTAATTTGTAGTTGAGATTTTTAAATTTTATTTTACTTTACCAAGTATAATTAATACCATATGATTATTAAAATAAATAATTTAATAAAGTATAAGTAGTTTAATAAATAAAATTTATTAGGTATAAATAAATTTATTAAGTATAAATAATTTAATAAATAAATTTTATTTTTAAAAATATATTAAATAGTAGAGGGTCAAAATGTAATTTCATAGCTAATCCCATGAGATAAAGTATTTTATGGATTGTGTCCCCCATCCCACGGAGTTGGAATTCATAGTCCGATACAAGAATTTTAAATCAAACAATGGACTATTAGTCTTATCTCATACTTGAATCCTTTCAAACAAGCACCGCCTTAATGTTTCCATCTCATTTGTTGTTCTTTATTAATCATACATTCTGAGCGTTCGTATGGAAAAAAAAATTTTAGTTTGACTTTTTTGATTATTTTGGCTTGACTAAAAAAAATCGTATTTATAGTAAATTTTAATATTTTTCTGTAATTATTTTGTCAGTTGTGAGAGAAAAAATAAAATAATTATTATTTAAATGTGATATTTTATTTTATTGGCTAAATTAGCATGTTCTATTTTTATTGACTAATTTAGTCAAAAATAGCTCATGCCAAACAAAGCCTAGCTAATCTGGCAAAGGGCATCAAATGTGACATTCGAACCAGCTTATGAGTGTTCCCTCAAGTAGATCAAAATTGATAGTACTACTAGGAGTTGAACTTGAGATCTAAAAAGAGCACACCCCTAATTTCAAATTATACCCACTAAGCCAACTTTTGAAAGTTTATGAGAAATTATTTATTAAATAGTACTAGGGGTGTAATTTTGGCCTGTGTCCCGCCCGCGGCCCGAGGTGGGCCCGTCCCGTTAAGGTCCGAGCCCAAGCCGAGCCCAACTCGAGGCCTTAGGCCATGACCTGGGCCATCGTTTTGAAGCATAGCCCGGCCCATTGGCCCACCCAAGCTCGACCAGAGACTCGCCCCGCCTGGGGGCACCCGATGCCCAGTATTATTTTTAATGAAAAATAATAAAATTTTAGTGGAAAAAATTTATAAAAAAAATTAAAAATTGTTAGGCCCACCCAAGCCCGCCCAAACCCAAGGCCCAGCCCATTGGCCCACCCAAAAGCCCAAATACCTCTAGACCTTGGCCTAGTTTTCTGGCGCGTGAATTAGCTGATTTTTTTGGCAGGAGCCTGCAAGGCCCGACATGGGCGGGGGCGGGGCCAAAATTACACCCCTAAATAATATTGTCCTTATAATAATAAGAAATATATGATCATTTTATTTTTATTCTTGTTTTTGAGAGAAAATGATTACATGTTCTTTTATTATTAGGTAAATGTAGAACTGCACTACAAGTTAAACCTATCAAATAACCATTTATTTGATTACAAAATGCTAACCATGAGCTCGATTGAAAATTAATTATTTTAATTAATTATTTTAACTTTTAACAATAAAATATGTAAAGAATAGGGGAAATAACTTGACAGAATAATTACAGAAAAATAAGAAATATTATAAATAATTTTTTTATTTATTAATATATAATTATATATCACTGACACCCCCTAATTGTTCCAAAAAAATAAAATAAAAGTGATGTTAGACTACGCTTGTCTCTAGTTTATTTTGTGAATTTAACGGTTTTGTTAAGCTCGTGAAATTTATTATGGATCTTATTTCGATAATTTGAATTATGCAATGTGTAGAACTCATCGAGTACTTTATCCCTATAAAAAATCACGTTGATAGGATATCAATAGCTACTTGATCAGATCAAAATTTTATCAATAATTTATTTTGATAATTATATTTACTGTTGACAGAAATCTGATCTGATTAATGTAATTTTTTACAAGAATAAAATATTTAACAAATTCTACATATTGAATATTTTAAATTATAAAAATAAAACCTATAATAAACCTACACAGACATAACAACATGCTCTAATCCAATCTCGGATGTAAAAGAAGCCTTGCACTTAGCCAATCCCAAAACAAGGCTTGCCCTATTTTGCCCTCTATTTTGTCTATTTCACTTGCACTTAGCCAATCCCAAAACAAGGCTTGCCCTATTTTGCCCTCTATTTTGTCTATTTCATCAATGTTGTGAAAATTGGATCGGTAAACGAATTAAAAAGAAATTGGATGGATGAGTCACTGATTCAATCATCGGATTGAAGCGGTCGTACCATGACATTATAATTAATATTATATAATTATAAATTATAAATAAATAAAAAAATATATAATTATTGAAATAATAAAAAAACTATTATATAAGATTTACTAATAATATTTAATAAAGTCATAATTGATAATAATAATAATAAAAAAAAGTTACTAATTTTAAAGAAATTAAAAAAATTTAACATTCCTTCCAAACAAATTGATTAAATGCTAGGTCTAATTTTGGAGAAAAATAAAATTTGCAACCCTCCCTCCAATCAAATATAATTCAAACAATTTGATTGAATTCCACATTGAATTTTTAGGTTTTCTTTGAACAATTATTTCTTATAAATAAGAATAACTTTCATAATTTCTTTAAACTTCCAATAAGACTCCTCCGTATGAGAAAAGACTCTTAAAATAAAAAACTTTAGTCAAAATTTTAATATATAAGAGAAAAAAAATAAAAAAAACCACTGGGTTGGTCTAAAACCAGTACCTATTCATCGATTTTATTGGTTGTACCACTAGTTTTTTTGATTTTTGCAAATAAGACCGATTTTTAGTCTAATTCGATTTTTGTAAATCATCGGACCGCAACTAAGTTCGATCACAAGTTTTACCGATTAAACTGGCCGATCTGGTTCTTAAAACATTATAAGAGCATCTCCAGCGGTGAATTTTTTTTTTCATCAAATTTGAGTAAAAAATGACTCATTTTTCTGAATTTGATATCAGTTGCTCCAACAGAGCATCAAAATCCGTGGGTCAACCGGTTGGTCGACCGGTAAAGCCAAATTTTTTTTTAAACATATTTGAACTGTTTGAACCTCCATATTTGAACTGTTTGAACCAGTTCACAGGCCAATGTTTGCCTGCACTGGTCGACCGGTTGGTCAACCGGGTGGTCGACCAAGGGGTCAGCCAGGTGGTCATCTAGGTGGTCGACCACCATGTGTAAACTTCTCAAGCTTTTCTGCTTTAACGGTCAGGAACAGTAATTTGGTAAAATCTGTACCTTGTTCTCACTTTGATGAATTTTTTGGTGAAGTCTCAATTTGATACCGATTTGGTGCAACTGTTGGGGCACCAAACAGTGACTTTTTCACTAAAATTTAAATTTGATGTCAAATTTGGTGAACGATTAAAGATGGTCTAACTCATTTAATGAGCTGCTCATTAAATATTTACTAAATCCAAAGATTTTAAATATTTTTTTCCAAAAGGTGACTTTAATTTTTTAAATTTAATTTTTTAAAAATTAAAAATTTATATTTTCATATTTTAATAATTTTTTTAATATTTTAAATCTATCTAAGAATCCCCTTAATTTCAGGAGAGAGAGAGAGAGAGAGAGAGAAGAGAAGAGAGGGAAGAGGAGGAGTTCAGAAGAGAGGGAAGAGAGGGAAGAGGAGGAGCTCGATCGTCGTCCTCTGCCCGATCGACGTGTCCGGTAGCCCCCGCTTCTGCCCGATCGTCGTCTTCGGCAGCCCCTGCCTCTGCCTCTGCTTCGCCTCCGGCCCCGCCTCCGCCTCCTCCTCCCGGTGGTTATGGCCCCCTCCAGTCCTCCTCCTCCTCTTTCCTTCTCTTCTCTTCTCTTCTCCTTTTTCCTTTTTCTTCTCCCTCGTTTCTGATTGAACCAGGAAAAAAAAAAAAAATGCAGAAACGACGTCGTTTCTAGTATTAGGGGGATTCGGGAGGACTTTTTTCGAGCGACGTAGCATTACCGATAATAATAATAGTTTGGAAAGCTATAGCTCACCAAACTAAAAACATATCAATAGAGATGTTTCCGTACAATAATTATTTTAACGCTCTACAGTACTACCACTCCTTCAATCGTTGTCTACCGTGGAATCAATCATACATGTACGTTGCTCAGCTTAAGGTAAATTATAACAAGTCCGCTGGGTAATTCGAATTATCAACTGTTCGAATAGCTTGAAATTTCAAAATCATATTGTTTTGAGATTTTTTTTTTTATCTTAACGGTAAGATTTATTCTCTTACCAGTAAGATAATTTTTCCGTACCAGGTCTGAGTCATTCTCTTACTAGTAAGAATGTCAAAACAACGTCGTTTTGACATTTGGGGCATTCGAGTTCTCACACATTTTCTAAATTATAAATACATTATGGAGATTTACTTAAAATATATATTATATTTTTATATTTTTGATATTTAGTGAATTTTTAAAAAATTTATTTTATAAATTTTTTACTTTTTAAGTATATTTATATTATGTGTGTTTAAAAAATAAAAAAATTAATTAAAATTTTAAAAAATTTTAATAAAAAAAAGGAAAAATAAATAAATAGAATTTTAAAAAAAATATTTTTTAAAAAGTAAAAACAAGCAAAGTGATTATAATTTAAGAAATTATGATTAAAATTACAATCAAATAAATTTTTTTTATAATTTGAAATGCTGTATTTTTAAACCACTGTCCACTAGTTAGGGGTGGACGCGGATCGGTTGCGGCCACGAAACCTCCAATCCGTCATCCATCTGCCAGATTGACAGATTAGAGAAAATCAATCTGTATCCGTCTGCCAATTCGGCAGATGTGGATTGAGCGGTTTGGCGGATGGATGCGAATCGGTTTGGCGGTTTAAGATTTTATAAATTTTCAACAAAATTCAACTTGTGCACTTCCTTAAAAAAAAAAGAAAAAAGAAAGTATTACAGTCAATGACTTAAAAAACTATTACAATCATTGTATATCTCATTAAAAAAAAAAAAAATTTGAAACTTTAGAATATCACAATCACTTCATGGTTCATCCACATATTAAAATCACAGCATGATTCATCCACATAAAGTATTACAATCTGTAGTTCTTAAAATATAATAACAATTCAAACTACCAAAACTATGAATATGGCAGTAATAGAGATTGTATGTCTCTATATTTTTGAAAACAAAAACCAACCAGCATATATCATATTTTCTATTTATTATTTTTATAGTTAAATTTAAAAACCAAAAAATATAGATAAATAATACGTTTATTTTTTTCGATTCAAAAAATATATTAAAGTTGAAAATTTTTTTCTAACAGAATATTTAAACTCTTTTTCAATTGAAAACACAAACAAAATATTTAAATAAATTAAAAACATAAAGTCTTATAAATTATTAAGCATGTTCACAGGCCAATGTTTACCTGCACTGGTCGACCGGTTGGTCAACCGGGTGGTCGACCAAGGGGTCAGCCAGGTGGTCATCTAGGTGGTCGACCACCATGTGTAAACTTCTCAAGCTTTTCTGCTTTAACGGTCAGGAACAGTAATTTGGTAAAATCTGTACCTTGTTCTCACTTTGATGAATTTTTTGGTGAAGTCTCAATTTGATACCGATTTGGTGCAACTGTTGGGACACCAAACAGTGACTTTTTCACCAAAATTTAAATTTGATGTCAAATTTGATGAACCATTAAAGATGGTCTAACTCATTTAATGAGTTGCTCATTAAATATTTACTAAATCCAAAGATTTTAAATATTTTTTTCCAAAAGGTGACTTTAATTTTTTAAATTTAATTTTTTAAAAATTAAAAATTTATATTTTCATATTTTAATAATTTTTTTAATATTTTAAATCTATCTAAATTAAATGTATTTAAAAAATAAAATATTTAATAAATTAATAAATACATCAAAATATAAAAATATATTAAATTTTTATATTTTTTGTATTTACTAATTTTTTTAAAAAAAAATTATAATTTAAGAAATTATAACCAAACAAAGTATGATTAAATTACAATCAAATAAATTTTTTTAATAATTTGCTAAATTATAACAACAATAGGTAGCTCAAAATTTTGTGGCTCAAATCACTCAAAACGACGTCGTTTTAAGTGTAAATTCGTTTTGACAGATTTGAGTCATTTGTGAGTCCAAACATTTTTCAAATTATAATTTGAGATGCTATATTTTTAAACCACTGTCTGGTAGCGTCCGCTGGGCTCGAGATTTTTGGCCCAAAACGTCGTCACAGAACTTGATAGTATGCAAGCCTATCCATTCGGTGCGGGGGCGCCACATCTCTAGATAATTTCATCCATCACAAAAATATCTGATCAGGCGGTAGGGATTAAAATTGCGGTAATTTTCACAGCAACCAAACGCCACAATTTTCTTTCGCTAGAAAATGACTTGCAACCAATTCAGCCTTTAAATCCCAATAAAAATTCAACCAAGTGACCAAAAAGTACTGATCAAGTGAATCACAGGCTATATGTGAAGCCGTAAGAGAAGAGATCTATTATAATCCAATGTAGAAGACGAAGTAAATCTATCTTATTTCAATATGGAAGCTCGTTTAAGCACATGAAAGTCTACAATGAACAACCATACTCGAAAAGTAGAAAGTACCAAACCAGAAACCCTAGATTAGATCACAACGACAAGACTTAAATTAAAACCAAGCCTAAACAGATATAGATCAACACTGCTCAAACATATCAGATCAGATCAAAGATCGATCAATGATAGCCAGTTTAAGCGAGCTGACCGCAATCGGCGATCGTCACGGTCTTCGAGGTCCTTCCAGTGCTCGATCCAACCTTCTCGATCGCCTTCACAACCTCCATACCTTCCACAACTTGACCAAACACGACGTGCTTTCCATCAAGCCACTCGGTCTTCGCAGTGCAGACGAAGAACTGCGATCCGTTGGTTCCAGGTCCAGCATTCGCCATGGAGAGAATTCCAGGTCCGGTATGCTTCTTGACGAAGTTCTCGTCGGCGAACTTTGATCCGTAGATGGATTCGCCTCCTGTGCCATTTCCGGCGGTGAAATCGCCTCCTTGGCACATGAATCCAGGAATCACGCGATGAAACGACGAGCCCTTGTAGTGCAAAGGCTTGCCGCTCTTTCCAACTCCTTTCTCGCCGGTGCAAAGTGCACGGAAGTTCTCCGCCGTGCGGGGAGTGGTGTCGGCGTAGAGCTCCATTACGATCCTCCCGGCCGGTTGACCTCCTACGGCCATATCGAAGAACACCTTAGGGTTTGCCATTCTCTCAGATCTCTGTTTTCTCTCTCTAGAACTGAAAGTCGCGTAGGGTTTAATCGTTGAAGATGAGGTTATATAGGGGCTTCAGAGCAACGATTATCTATGGAGGATTGATCCTCGCCGTTGAAGTAGGACACGTGTCGGACTAGATATAGAAAGACTTGGGGATAGAAGTCGCTGGGGTTAGGTGATTTTTTTTAACTCTGGTTAGTTCTTGGGTTAGTTGCGATTGGATCACGTGGTATATGCTTCTATTTGTTCGGATAAATTTGAAGAAGGGTAGGGAAGGATTTGCTGGTTGATGGACCATCATGGTCCATATCTATAAAAAAATGTGTGGCCTCTTGATATGATGTAATTTTGGCTCCAAATATTTTTATTAAATATATTATATGAGTGTGGGATTTATATCATATGAGTTTCATATGAATCACATATTTATGTAAGATATTTGAAAAAATATTTAAAATTCTTAATATTACTCAATTTTGGATGATGAAAATTGGACCACATGATCTTAATACTATTTTGTACTAATTTTGTTGGTAGCGGAGAGTCTCTAGAGATTACCATCGCACTTGAATTTTCTGCAGAAATAACGTTTCGAAATTTATGATACCGACATCACCACGTCTTGTCATTTAGCATCAGATAAAGTTGATTTTATTTTTTTGGATTTTGTTAAGAAAAATAGAAAAGGCATAAATATATTTTGTGAAAGACTAAAGTATCCTTGTCGTTCAAAAAAACAAAAAATGTATCCTTGTTTGGGTTCTTTCTGTTTTAATCTTAGTTTTTTTTTTTTTAAAAATAAAAAAATAAAAAAATTCATAACAGTAAATGTCTTTAAAAAAATTTAAAATTTATATGGCCTAAGGGAAATAAAAGACATAATTTTTCAGATTTTTTAAAAAATTTATGTGTTCTTTATTTTTATAACAAATATAAAAAAATATTTGCCTTTTATTTTTTTTAATTTTTATATTTATTTTTCTTATACTATATAATTTAATTATTATTAAAAACAGAAGGCATTTCAAATTTTTAAAAAAATCATGAAATATTATTTTAAAATAAAGGCATTTACTTTTATGAAAAAAATAAAATAAAAACAAATTACATTATGTAAAGTATATAATGTTAAAATATAAAGAATTAGAAAAAGGGTAGTTTTGTCTTTTGCATATTTTCTATGTTAGTGGTGGTAATTAAATATATTTAAGAGCATCTCTAATGTTGTGTCTTTTTTTTTTATTATTAAATTTGAGTAAAAATTTGAATAAAAATTTTATCTGATATCGCACGCTTCAACAGAGAATTTTGATCTTTCATCAAATCACCGGTCGATCAGGTGGATGTTCGTCCGGTCGATCGGCCAGTGTAAATTATAACCTATCGGTCATTCAGCGCTCCTACACTAATGACTATTTACAGTAATTTGATGAAAGATTTCAAATATTCTCAGCCTCCGTTTGGGAAGTGGGTTGACTTTTTGGCTTTTTGACTTTTTTTGGCTATTTTAGCCTGGGCTAAAAAGTTTGGCTTGGGAAGGGCTTTTTGGCTTTTTTGACTTTTTTTGTGAGAGAAGAATGTAATGATTACGGGTTGGATGTGATATTTTGTTTTTGTGGCTAAAATAGCATACTTTGTCTTTTGTGGCTAAAATAGCGAAAAATGCCCCGTTTAGCTCTTGCCAAACGGAGCCTCAATTTGATGAAAAGTTTTACACATCCTCAATTTGATAGCAAACTGATGACAAACGTTGGAGTAGGATTTTGATCAATTTTTCATCAAATTGATGAAAGAAAAGGTAAAACGTTGAAGATGGTCTAATGCATTTTTAACAAGTGCCAAAATTCTCAATTTTTTTTACAAGTTTTCTCAATTTTTTTTTTTTTTAAAATTTTAGACTGTTGATTAGATGAAAAAATTTAAAAAATTGTTTTTATGAGAAAGTTTTAGCCTGTTGATTATATTTGCACTAAAAAAATCATTAAGTACATTTAATTTCTTATTATATTCTATTAAATTATTTAGGGTTATCATTTATTCTTAATATACCTTATATTTTTTCTTAAATGATCTTTTAAGGTACAGCTAAATAATAAACAAATCAAAAATCTTAAATCAGATCACTTAAAAAAAATCTTTTATGCTGTGTTTGGTTAACGGATTTCGAAAGAGATTTAGAAAATATGTATGAAATTAGGTGAAATGTAAGTATATCTTTTACATTTTAGCTACTTTTTCTCTTTCTTTTTCTAAATCATTTCTCAAATCTCCCAATTAAACACAGAGTAAATGGATCAGTGACTAAGTCTTCGTTTGGGATGTGGGTTGACATTTTTATTATTTTAGTCTGGGGTTAAAAAATCTCATTTGAGATGGATATTTTGTTTTTTTTGACTTTTGTGAGAAAAAAAAATAAAATGATTATTATTTAGATATAATATTTTGTCTTATTAATTTTTTAACTTATTTTATTAATTTTTTTTTAGACTAAAAAAAAAAAACTCATGCCAAATAGCCTAAAATGTGAGGTGGAAATCAACTCTTGAAACTACGGTTATCTCCAACTATTTTGGTGCCTAAAATGGGCTACGCATCCGTTAGCTCGTTTGACGAGTGATGGCCTGGCATTTTCTACTTGGGCAGAAGATGTCCCAAAGCCTATTCCCCCCTTTTGTATTGCCGGAAGCTTTTGAAGCTCCTCCTTGGCCCTTTTTTTTTTTAACATCTACAAAAATAAATAAATAAATAAATAAATTTGATCCTATGAATACTGAATAGATTTCAATTTTGTAGTATTTTTCTTAATTAATTGGTTTGATCATTCTATCAAAATATTCATTCTTATATTTAGTTGTGTTGACTTTTTTGACTTTCAAATGTTCGAAATGTAATTCAAGCGTGCCTGTCACGACCCAAACTCAGTATCCAAAGGTTCGGTGTCGTAACAAGATAAAAATAAAATAATTCGGATAATTCTGTAGTTGCAACACAAGCGGATAATTTAAATAAAATAATTGGGTACCAACTGTTATTTAAAATGAAACAAAACATAGTCATTTAAACTTCATTGTATTACAAGAGTTTGATAATAAAAAGTAGGGGTAAATAATTATTATTTAGATATAATATTTTGTCTTATTAATTTTTTAATTTATTTTATTAATTTTTTTTTAGACTAAAAAAAAAAACTCATGCCAAATAGCCTAAAATGTGAGGTGGAAATCAACTCTTGAAACTACGGTTATCTCCAACTATTTTGGTGCCTAAAATGGGCTACGCATCCGTTAGCTCGTTTGACGAGTGATGGCCTGGCATTTTCTACTTGGGCAGAAGATGTCCCAAAGCCTATTCCCCCCTTTTGTATTGCCGGAAGCTTTTGAAGCTCCTCCTTGGCCCTTTTTTTTTTTAACATCTACAAAAATAAATAAATAAATAAATAAATTTGATCCTATGAATACTGAATAGATTTCAATTTTGTAGTATTTTTCTTAATTAATTCGTTTGATCATTCTATCAAAATATTCATTCTTATATTTAGTTGTGTTGACTTTTTTGACTTTCAAATGTTCGAAATGTAATTCAAGCGTGCCTGTCACGACCCAAACTCAGTATCCAAAGGTTCAGTGTCGTAACAAGATAAAAATAAAATAATTCGGATAATTCTGTAGTTGCAACACAAGCGGATAATTTAAATAAAATAATTGGGTACCAATTGTTATTTAAAATGAAACAAAACATAGTCATTTAAACTTCATTGTATTACAAGAGTTTGATAATAAAAAGATAGAAATCTAAAAAAAAACAAAACAACACAGCGATTCATTTTCCATCTTGATCCCGCTAAACCTCGTCACCTGAAAGGGGTAACAGCTATAAGCACATAGCAGAGTGAGAAATATTATACTGTGAGTGTAGGGGCACAAAATAGCCATGGATATTTATTTAAGCTAAAACATTAAAACATTAACATAATTTGAGTTGAATACACAAATTAATTAAGTGCCAGAAACTGAAATAATTAACTATAACCACGGTACATAATGGAACAGAACAGGGGTCACTAAGTGACAATCACTACAGGGGTCAATGGATCCATGACAAACAGGGGACCACAAAGTGGTCAAACAGGGGCCAATGGTTATTTAAGTCCCCTAAGGCGTGGGACTCTCGTGGTGGTACTTACACAACATAATTGTTTATAAGGTCATAATCAAATATTCTTTAAAATGTAAACAAATATATCCATGTGTTTCCTTTTAGGCAAATAGGGTTCAGAAAATAATTCACGTAACTGAAACCTTTATAAAACATAACTTTTATTAATATACTAATAAAACATAACTTGTATAAAATAGATTTTGGTAAGTCAAAACATAAGTAAAATACATTTTGGAGACTCAAGGTATAAGATAACTCACCTTAAATTAATTCCTTTATTCTTCCTTTTCACCACTCAAGATTCTCACCCATGCCGTCCTCTTTTCTACTTTCTATTTCTTTTTTTTTCTTTTTCTTTTTTCTGCTGCCTTAAACATGCCAAACTCCTCTATTTATAGGAAAGAAATTCGTGGGTAACAAGTTACAGAGAGTTCCGTATATTTGACGTGTGTAAGTCTTGCTGATCATGCTGATTCACTCCGGTCAACCCTTATCTCTTTATTTATTAACTTGTTTGATTTTATCTTTTTACTTTAACCATTGACTTATTTTGACCATTTTACTAATTTAAAAGTTATTGCCTTCTTTAGTAATCATGATGACTCCTAAAATTACATATGACTATAAGTCAGGTTCATGTCTAAAAACCTCACTTCCCAACTATAAAACCTCACTTACCACTTACTAAAATACTTAATGTGTAGTGGTTCACAACGTACTTCCTTAACAATAAAATTCTCAATTTCCTAAATTATGCATTTATTTATTATTATTATTATTATTATTATTATTATTATTATACTATTATTATTATTTTTATTTTCTGAGTTCTATTTATTGTAATGTTAAATTAAAAACCTTCGGGTGTCACATTTCTCCCCTCCTTAAA